CATGCATTGTATTCTCTCGAAGGCTTATTACTTACTATTTCTACATCTATCTGAAAATAGTTCACTGATGAATATTGGCCTCAAAACAGAATTTGCCGTAACCGAAAAGCATGACCGACGTTTCAAGTTCATGTTCATACTCATCTAATGGATTTATTGTTTTAGTCGGTTTGTACTACTACTATTTAGATTTATTAAGTGGGTTATTTAGTCTTACCGCACGAGGAACAAACGATTTTTTAAGACAAGTCGCCGGAGAAGCGGGAAAAAACTGTTATGCTAAGTTTAGTTTAGGTTTTATTAAATAACGGTCTAATCAAAAATATACGATACACGTAAAGAGTCTGCCTCAAGAACGTGCTAATTCGTTACATGATGGGATGTACTTAAACTCCTGAAAACAGGCTCAAATAAAAATCTAAAACGAATTATTTAAGAATAACATATCTAACTTTGTACATAATTTTTATATGGAGAAATTTCTCTTTAAGTACTACAGAGAACCAGCAAAATTTTTGTTTTCAACTGAAGCCCTGTAGTTATTAAATTCATATTTATCCCAAAATTTGGAAATTGCCTAGCAGCTGAACGACACGACACGCCGCGCTGTGCCGCTCGATGCCCCGCCACCGGGCGCTTGTCAACGACGGATCTGTGTCAAATTTTCTCCGCCTGTTATTATTTTTTGGATTAATTTGATATTTTCTGTGGTATTCGTACCGCCCAAAGTCGTCGCCCTTAGGACATGAGATCTTAAATGGCCTTGCCTATGCAAGGCCATTAAAATATTGTTTTAGCTTTCATTGACTTTCAATCTGGAAGACAACAGTGTTTCCTTGCAGTAACACTATTACATTATAACAGTATTTGACATTTTTTGTGTACGCCTCCCAGTTTCCATTTAAATTTTTTATTTTTATTTTGTTTCATTATATTTTCTTATATTGTATTCAATATCTTGACTGGCAGTGCCCTAATTAGGGTCATGCACTACACTCTAGTCGTAATGTAACACATTTGTAACGCCTGACTATGCATGTGACTATAAATAAATACAAATACAGGTTGGGTGGATTTTTAGGCAGGTTCTGCAAGCAATATTTACCCTGCTATTTATATTTATACGTGTCTTTAAATCAAATATATCGATAATTGCATCAATGTTCGGTAGGTCGGACGAAAACTAATTTTCACAAGGTTATTGGTTTCCCGTTTCCCACGCGTAATAAATAGACTTTTGCATAGTGTTAAAATGTGATCAGTAAGAATACCGAGCAAGGTTTTCGTGTTTATTGCTACACATTGGAAATGAACCTATTTTTTATATATCGCGTATATTTGTTTTTTTAAAGTTTTCTGCGAAAAAATATGCGTTCTAAGCCGATTTCTGACTTGGAAATCTGTTTCTAACCATTATTAGACCAATGCCACATTTTCGTTCTTATAATTTTGACGAGCTCCGTGGTGGAGTGGTCGCCATCTCTGAGTAGGTACCCGAGTTTGATCCCCGGCCAGGTAAATGTAGAAAACTAACTTTTCATTACAATCTCGGCTCTGAGAGTTTGTGGTACATTCGTTGTTTCCAATTTCCATGACACAAGTGCTTTAGTTACTTTGGGATCAGAACAACGTATGTGATATTGTCTAATATCTATTTATTTACTTATTATACACTTCCAGACCTAAAACAATATTTGATTGACCAAAATCTATTATTATGCAATTTTTCAAACTGGTATACTAAACGTCACTTCCGTCCTTGTTTAAAATTTGAATTTGTGAAACAGGCGAAAATTTTTTATTCGATGATAAATATTATTCATGTAGTTGTAGTCTTTCGATAAAAAAATAATTATTAAAAAAACACCAATAACAAAAAAAAAACCAATAATCGCCACCCATTGCACAAATCTTTGGACTTTGTGTTTCCCATTATACTATCTTGGGTTTTCCTATTCAATCTCCCCGCTCAATAGTGTTCATATCATAATACTTATGTTCTGTATTTCGTGTAAAGATACTTTGCCCAAGGCTCTTCTTGAGATCTTCCGAAAAATAGAAGTGTCATTCTGAGGCGACTTATACCGTAACAAGCATATACTATATATAATTTATTAGTCCTGTTATTGTTTAAATAATCTCAGTACAGAGTACTAAAAAAATCGACCTCATAGGTTCGTAGAATTACATCTTTTTCTTGAAATCGTTACCGGAAAGTGCGCCCAATCGGATTCATATCCTAGTTTACCTTAAAAGTGGAATATTTTCTTCAAATTTAAATGGGGTCACTACAGAGGTAACCTCTTTCCAACAAAAAAATAATCATCATAATCGGTTCACAAATGCGTGCGAGAGAATCGCATAACGTGCATAAAAAAATACAGTCGAACCTCCCCCTTTGTTAAAATGCGTTTTAACTCTGATCTGAATTTATTCGAATGATATATCATTAAGAATTTAAGAAAAAAAAAGTAATGCAACATATACAATATTTTTGAATAACTTACTTGTATTTTTGATACCGATCAACTTGTGTTATTAATAATAAATAATCACGAGAAACGTCCACGTAAAATCTGTTGACTCCTAAATATTATTTATCATGTTTTGTAAATGAATATAGAATCTATATGTAATCTATATCCAGCTCGAAATCAAAATTAAAATAGAATAATGGGCGTTCTGCCAGTCCTAGGTACGAAGTAAACTAGTGCGATGACCAAAAAGTGTTTTGAAACAAACTGTCACATCGTCAGGGATACTGCAATAACGCATAACTAGCATTGAATTATAAGTTTCCATTTCGGTAAATTAGTGCCCAAATCAAATACGCGTAACTGTCGTGCCAACCAAATTAGCGCGATTTACGGGAATCTATTGTTATCAGTCCGTAAACAATAAATTAATGCTTACTGTGCAAAATTTAAAGTCATAGCCATTGAAATAACAAAGTTTTAACGTTGAATCATTCTCTTGTAAAATTTAGTTTAGTGAAGATCCATATCTTCACTAAACTAAACTTTTTTGCCTTTTACCAATGCTACATACGCGGATTTGCGATATTATTATAATTATTAATACAAAGATCGAACACAAAAAAATCATTAAATACGGCTGGTTTTCTTACCCTTTTTTTATTTCATATATTTCTAAAAATTACGGCAAAAAAGTCGTTAAAAACCAAAAACAAAGATCTGCAACAAGCACATACAAAAATTCGCAAGGTCTGTTAGTTTGTTCCGTAACTCGGTTGAGAGAGCCTCAGTCTACGGTATCTGTGAAGGGTGGAGTAATTTCACAAATAATAATTTACAATCATTCGTATGGTGATGACGATGAATTGAATATCATGGTAATAAAATATAGTATTATTCAATAAACTTAATATTAAAAGTAACAATATTAATATTGTTGTATTTAAAAAACGAGCAGGAATCACATGGCTACTACCTAGTTATTTCAAATTTTAACAGCTAAAAAACTGTATCGTATAAAAGTCAAATATAAGTAAAATCCAAGAGCTATCCATATGGTGTTTCTTCTTAATTAAGAAGTAATAAATTGACTGTCCTCTACATGACTTAACAGATAATAATAATAATAACGCGCGCACATTCATAGCCCCGTACTAGGGAAACCCTGTATCACGGGATGCCATGGACACATACATAGACAACCACAAATGACAACCAAACTCACGAGAGAAATAAATGTAGGCGGTACAAATATTTCTCCCATTCGGCCACGGGGGCAGTTGTTTAAATTTCATCATTAAGTACATACGTTGTTATATGAATTAATAAATAATAATCATATTATTTGTTCTGAATAAACCCATCTACGCATATCCATTGCCCTAGTCTACTTCGAGGCAAGAAGGGCAGGACAGGGGATTATGTACTTCGCATGCCCTCGACACTTGTTATTGTTCTTTGAAATGCAAGGTTTTTGCGCATGCAAGTACATTTATTAGAACACTGTGCGTCTGAATGGCACAGGAATATTGTGGTGACAAAATCGCTCTTGCTATCTATAGGCAATACATGTTTTCCATGAAAATGTTATGAAACCGCATTTCTATTCTATTTACAAAGCCCACACTGTCTGCGGCCAGAAACGAGGGCGTTTTCACATACCTGATTTTGAGGTTCTGCGTCGCAGATATTATCTTAATAGTTTTACGCTTTATTTACCTCTCGTTTTCTTAAAAATTTATTACATTGCCTGTTTTATATGAGTTTGTGATGAATACTTTAATACAAATGTAGTAATGTAAATAGTGTAGTCGTCGTGATCGAGAATTATCGACTTTTCGTTGTACAAATTTTACCTAGATATATATAGCTCGTAGAAACTGGAGAGCCGGCCGGCGTGCGCTGGGTGTTTACAATCGAGTGATAAGTCGTTCTTAGGTAACAGACTATTTGTTATCGATAGGTAATGATTAGTAAATAAGTTTTCAAGGTGACTAATGGTGCGTAAATAGCTGTAAGAATAAGTATAACAATTCAACGGGTTAGTGTTACCAGCCTCCTGGGGACCGGATAAAATAAACGTGTTATTGGTAGGTCAACGGTGTTGAAGTATTTATTTGCAAAAGAAATATGTATAGAAATACAAGCATAGTCATTTTGTTTAATGTTATGTAAATATTCAAATTCATAAAATGTTCATTATGTATGAATTGATCGTACGTATAATGTTTTACATAAAGATATAAAAAGGAATTTAAAATTAGAGCGCTGAGCAAAAATGAGAGTATATGGTTAACCATTACTACTAAGCTACATAATTGTTTAAAACTGCGTTAGTTTATTTTTTTAAATTATAACTCTGGAGTAGAAAGCGAAATAAATGTTTTATTCATGATGCTATGTAAACAGAAGTTCGGGCATTACATGACAAATAGTAAAAAAATATATCCCAAAATACTCCATCGATAACGGATGATTACAACACTAGCTTGCCTCCACCGCCCGCCCAACTCAGTCTTTCACGCAGGGCGCTCGCGAACGCACACGGAGCGCCATCTTTGCGACGCCATTCCGTGCTCTCTTCCTACCTAACCAATAATTAATATACCCTGTTTAAAACATACATACTTGCTACATATTTCGTATACTTCGGTAAGTATTTTTATAATTGAAGTGTTGTGCTATCCAAATTCAAATTAGCAAGTAATCTCAAGGCCGTTTTTTTGTTCGCGTCTCGATTGAACAAAAGGGTGTGTTTATATACTACAATTCTCGCCATTATTTCCGTAAATAAACAGTGTATATGTATTATATTTGCCTGAATATTCATTCATGAGGACGTAATAATAAAAGAAGTTGAAATATAGGGCTACAGACGATGTATTTAAGAAGTCCATATTGTAAAATAGAGCTTTCTTTTTGGGATAATGGGTTTGAATGGTTATGCAATATTGACGGTCTTATTCTGTAATTTGGTTTTATTTAAATTGCTTCTGTCAGGTTAGTATTTATTTGATGTTTGTGTATATAAAGGCAGGTGTGAAAGTTTTAAAAGAGTCATTTTGGAGATAAATCAAATGCGTGTGATACGAAGTATGAAATAATGGTTATTTCTCAAGTTACACTAGGCATTAATTTATTATTTTTTAATTAATTTACGTAAACGTAACACTCTCGTGGATCCACTAGTGGGACAATTTCGTGACACTACGAGAAAACGGCCAACTAAAGTATATAGTACAGGTACTCACGGGTAGACGGACCTTATGGCACCACAGTCAACGCAAATTACGTGTGATATATTATTTAAATATTCAAGAAGGAAGAACATGGAGTGCAAATTAAACCATCCACTCTTTCAGAAACGAATGTTTTGAAAACTCAGATTATACATCAATATTTTTTTATAATACCAAGTGACGAGACGAACAAGTCGTACGCCTAGTGGTAAGCGACACGTCTTTCCATAACAGTTACAGTGCTACAGAGGCCTTAAATCGCAAAGATCTTATGGGCTTTGCCACTGCGTCCGTCACCCAGAGACATAAGTTGACAAGTCCCATATGCCTGTAATTTCACCAGCACCTTTGCCCTCCTAAACCGGAACGCAGTAATGCTCACATTACGGCAAAAGAAAATAAGGTGGCAGTTCTTCCTTGAACGAACTCTTTCACAAGGAGCTCTACTGCTACTAAATATTGTAATATACAAACAGATCGAATAATTGTCACTTAAAATATTAAACATTCGATTAGATGATTACAAAATTACTAAGTATATGCGTTTATAGTTTCTTTTATAAGAACCTCTTAGAGTATAAGGTCTCCTGTAACTCATCCTAAATTGTGCTTTATTATGATTATTATTACAAAGATTTGTGATTTGTTACTACATCTTTTTTTTAATTCATCTGCGGTCCGCTACTGTTCATTTATTTTGCTACAAATAGTAATAACCTAGTCATTAAATAAGAGAACATTATTTCCGTAGTCTAATGAGTAATGATAGACACGCCCACGGGAAGTCCATTGAACTCTGTTATGCAGGTCGCACTGATGCTGTCTGTAAATTGACTAATCCCACATATTATCTATATTTTCTTCATACAGGATGACTGAAGTAATCTTTGTATTTTAACTAATATACTAAATAAACTTCCATCCCTTCTTGTTATCATATCGATGGCATAACTGTAATGCTCGCCATCCTGGTGGAAGTCAGGTGAAAGGATTTACCAATCGGTGTAATGTACCAATTGTTGGCCATGGTACGCCAGACGTTCAGGAAAGGTATGGTACGTCGTGCGGGGAGGCTCCTGTCGTGCACTCCGTTCCGACCCTCACTGGTTGCGATAAAACACGTGATTATGAAATCCTAGTCCATGAAAATTCTTATTTTGATTCGAACTCTGTTTTGTACGTTTATTAAGAATGCAGCTAAGGGGTGGAACTTTTGCATTGTGCTTCTCAAACGTTACAATTTGGATATTTCCATAATGACCTCGGTTGCATATCGGTAAAACACTGTGGGCATTAGATGACGAGGTACCGGGTTAGGACCAATTTAAGAATCGATCTTTTTTTAAATTTATCTTGTTCCGTGTGTTCTTGGTAACACCCCGGAGTTAGTTTTGCGGGTTGGTACTCTTATAGAAAATTTTCTAGTTCAGGAGGTAATTGACGTCTGACACAATTATTATTATCTTATGGTCAGAGTAAACAGGTATCTAGGCGAACATGTAGCATCGCCCACGTCTTCACTTACTCAGGTGAAATGTGGACAAATGTTTAACATACGTGTGTCTTAAGTTCGAAGCTGCAATCTTGTGTGTATTAATGTCTGTTTTAATAGGGAACACTTTAAATGGACCATCGTCGTCTAGTAGGGGAGCATGTTTTAAGCATAAAGAGCCATTTTTATTGTTTTAAGAAAAAAACATACATAAATATGTACTTACACGAGATTTTTAATAATCTGGTAGAGTCAATAAGACAGTATTTAAATAAGCCAAGCCGACGTCGGTACGCAGCAAATGCAATGCAAGACGTTTTTGGTTCAATATATAACAACTAACTAAACTGAAAATTTAAATTTAATTACAATACAGGATAAAGTAGCGTAGTGCTGGCAAAGTTTTAATTATTGGCACCGTAGTAGTATAAAATGTGTGCTAGTTACTGAATTTAAAGTAACATTTAATAAATTCAACATCCAAATTACCATGACAGTTTACTTGTATTTCGAGTTCTTAGGTTTTCGCGATTGTTACACATCATAGGAAATGAAACTATTTTTCCTGTTTAAAGTCGCATATATTTGTTTTGTCAAACTTCATTGAATGTAAAGGTTTGTTCATGACATGCTCGCAGACTGCAGACTTGGTTACTCGATGGTGTTTGACATCAGTTATATGTTCTTTGACGCGGGTACAAATACTTTGCTTCGTTTGTCCAATATAAGACGAACGGTTGACTGAACCACCTCAGTCAACCGTGACCATGGGACCTGTAAAGGGCCCGAAACGTTGGTTTGTTTGAAAAAACAAATATACGCGATTTAAATCCGGAAAAATAGTTTCATTTCCTGAGCTTACTTGTATCTTGACTAAATTATCTATCGCACAGTAATAGTTTAATTCTACACAGTTTTTTTATATTTACTTAAGATACCGTTTTAGCAGATCACCAAATATCAAAACAACTCGTAAGTTACAGTGAGGAAGCTGCCAATTACAAAATAAACAAACATGATATTATAAGCCTGTGTTTAAAAATGTTAACTTTGCAGTCCTTTTTGTTGACATTCCTTCAATCATTCTAATCATTTTGTTGGCCCTTCCAGACATTTTTGGTAATCTGTACCTCGAGAAACATTATGTAATGTACTTGCTTGCCCTGTAAACTCTTTTCATAAATGGACCTGTGCCGGGCAGTAGGATATTTACTTTAAATTATTCTCCTTAAGTTTATGAGCTTAGGTAAACAATAAAAGCTTTTCCACTTTATTTCGTATGGAAATATTTATATACTTTTGGGAGACAAAAAAATTGTATTAAAAAACAGTTGTCACATAATAGACAGAATTGCTGGTGGTAGTATTTATTTATTTATTTATTTTATTTAAACACTTTATTGTACCACAAAGTAACTTACAAATTTTCAGAAACAATTTAAATATTTGTGTACAAAGGCGAGCTTATCCCATAAAGAGATTTCTTCCAACTAACCTTTGAAAATCTGAGAGGAAAGTTGGTTTTTGGGGTGGCACTAAAAATAGATAAGTAAAGAAATGAAATAATAATAATAATAATAACGCACACACTCAACATAGCCCCGCACTAGGGAAAACCCTGTGCCGCGGGTGCCATGGACACACACATAGACAACCACAAATTACACCCAAACTCACGAGAGAAATAAATGCAGGTCATACAAATATTTCTCCCGGCCCGGGAATCGAACCTGGGACCTCTGCGTGGCAGTCCGGCATGGTAACCGTTCGGCCACGGAGGCAGTTAAATATACTATACTCAATAAATACACAGATAAATTTAATAAATCAAATGTACATACGAATATATATATATTAAGTAATGTTGATACATTAATACATACAAAGTCTATAATAAATTGAATGTATAAAAAAAAAACTATATATATATATTTATTGCTATTTATATCGCAGAGTACTTCTGTGTTTGTAGTTATTGCTGTAAGATATTGCTGTAACTGGTCAACACCAGATGTTGTGTTTTTTTGTTGTTGACATATTTGCGTAAGATAGATAATATTTGTTGTGTTGGGCAAGTGACTGCTGCATTCCATTTTATTGGAAACTTAATAAAAACTCTATACTCATAGAAGCAGAACAACCACCAGAACAAAATATAAATATATATATAATATATATAAATAAGATACAATTTAGAAGTTTTAATAGTAGCAGTTACGCTCCTTGTTAAAGAGTTCGTCCAGAGAAGTACTGCCACATTACCTATTTCTGTCGCCAAGCAGTAATGTGAGAATTACTGCGTTCCGGTTTTGAAGGGTAAGGGTGCTGATGAAATTACAGGCACATGGAACTCGTCATCTAATGTCTCGAGCAACAAGCGCAGTGGCAGTACCCTTTAGATCTTTGTAATTAAAGCTCGAGTGACACTGCAACTGTTATAGACAGGCGTGTAGCTTGTCGTCGGGCATACGACTTATACGTCGCCTTCACCGTCACTTGTTATTATAAAAAAATATTTCCTGTTTCTGGAAATGACATCAGGAAGCCCTTATCCGAATTAAAGGATCACTGGTCATTTACGTTAACTGGTTACTCTCGTAAGTCGTCAACTGTGTGAAAATATTTAAGTAGTTAGTTTCCCTAGCTGGTCATTTTCCGATCCGATATTTGTCATTTTTCGTATAGTCATGTAATTTTACAATTTGCTTATGAATTTTAACCTCTAGGCTACCGAGATAATCAATTATCGATTACACAGGTGGTCAATAATTTTGTGGTTCTTCAATGTAACGAGTTCAATTGAACTAAATACGTTTCGGCAACTGCTGTCCGTAATTAAAGGAGACTACAAATGTAAAAGTCCACCCTTTCAACTGAATGACTAAATTTCCTGGAAACGTAAGCGTTCACGTATTAGCCTATAAGCATCTGTTAATATTCATATTCAGACTGCTTCTTTAAATTTATTTTTAAATTTATTGACGTAACATCAATTTGTTTATTTGACCGATTTTTGAGTTTTGTTTATGAAAACGGTACTGAGCATTATTTGAAATAAAACTTCTCAAAAATAACCTAAAGCCCCCTACTTCCAAAATTAAGCTGTCTACGTAAAATAGCAGTAATAAATTGCTAAAATGTCTTATGAGCCATCAGTACTTTGAGGAACCTACGCCGTAGCGCGCGCTACGCATATTACGTTGCTACGCAGTTTCTACGCACTTCCTTTGTCCTTTTCAAACTTTATTGTCCTTTTTGGTCTTTCATTTCTTTATTTTTTATGATGACGATTATAACAATGGAGACTAACTAAAATCAACAAGCGGCGCTAAATAACTAAATACCAGTTACTCACAATGGGCAGACAGTAATTTTCTGGAGTGGTTTGATATATAATAAATTAATTATAACATTGGTGCTGTGATCCTTTTCGACGATTAATTTATAATTAAAAACAATTAATTCTTAATACATTTTCTTAAAACGACCTATTCTAAAAATTACCGCATCTACTTTATGGCACCGTAATTAGTCGGGAGACACGATACAGATCTTTAAATTAAATTTTACTTACAAATTCGCGCCCAAGTAAGTCATAGCTTCTTTAAATGATACGCAGTGCATAACTACGCACAAGTCTGTCTGATCCTGTGGGCTTCTTCACTTCGAGTTACATAATCATGTATTGATACGTAGTTCCATGAAAAAGGGTTGAAAATAATCTATAAATAATTAGTATGTTTTTATTTTATTGTTATAGTTGAATGTCACGTGTATCTTGTTGATTCTTGTTTTAGTATTGTTCATCGTTCATCAAGCATCCTTCTAAATGATTAATGCATTATTAACAATAGGTTCTATTAGTGGTATAGTACATTATGTTATTCCTCAAAATGAGTTATATAAATTATCTATTGATATTTGAGCTCGTGGAGTATTGATTGGCTTTTCTTGTAACATGGTAATCGAACTGTACATAATTAAATTTTACAGGAAACAACTCAACTCAACTGTTTATACGTATTTGTTAATATTTTTTAATTTTTTCGTGTTCTAACTTGGATTAATTAAATATATAATTATTTTAGCAACTGCCACTTGTCACTGCCACTGCCACCACAGCAAATGACTTTGAGTGTACTAACATATTATTTTAAGTCAAATAAATGGTAGTACCGTGGGATTTGGAGATGGAGAGAGATTCGGAGTAGGACCATGGGATCGTAGGTCCTTATTTAATAATAATAAAACATTTATTAATAAAAGTCATCAAAGGTACAGTTTCGGAAATGTAGTGGAATCTAGTGGTAATCTCAGTACTAGATGCTTCTTTTCAGGTTGCACTTTTATATATAATACCATATGAATGCTGATAATTGTCTAATTTCAAAACAACTATTAATACATGTTAAACTTGTGGGACATGCTTCAAATTAATTTATTATATTGATGAGCATAGGAACATGTATTTCAAGTAAATAACAGGTACTCAGATGACAAATAAACTAACGAAAAACTTAATACAAGAAACGATTTGATACAATTTAAAGCACTTGCTATAGCAATTTAGTCCAGCAACATTGTGACTTCTGTATGTCAAGTAGCCTTATATACCTATATTTACTCGATTATGGTGATGTCACTAGGCGGGTAATGTGTTTCGCGCATATATAATATAACATTATTAATTTGTACTACATTACCTATCTACAGTTAAAACAACACTTGAACCGATCGTGTATGGGGTGTCAACACATTAGTATGAGTACTGTGAGTGTTGTAGGATATATGACGTCAACAAAAATAAATAACAGACGTAGGAGCCATAATGTGTAACCGTACCAGAGCGAACGTTTGTTTTTTTTTTAAGTTTTCCGTGTTTTCAAACGATATGGTAGTGTTTGAGACCTAATGTCTCCGACACTACCAGCTTCTAAACATAAATGTTTTTTTTGTGGCTGTGAAAAAGCAATATCGGGACACAGACTTTACGAAGTAACTCGTGTTTGTATATCTGTTTTGTGTATTTATGGACGTTTAATATTGTGCAATTTAAATTATTTATTACTCAATTGATTATCTTCTTTTTGTAATTGTTGTTTGTGTCAAATTTTATTTACTTAGTGCCTTATTGTTTACAATTATTTCAATTTTAATTTTTTGGACCTAAATATATTTCTTTCTGTATTGTGGTATTCCAATTTATAATGGCCTGTGGCAGAATAACAGCGAGAATTATATAATTAGTAGTCCTAAGATACTGAATCATGGAACCTATTGACATGCTTTTTTCACATTTTAACTTGAATTTTTTATTTTTTTATTTCTTTGTGTAATGTTTGAAATTTACGTATTTTGCAAGTAACATAAAGCCGATTTTATTTATTTTTATTTATTGTAATGTTAACACTAGGGTAATAACAAAAAAGAGAAAAAGTAAAGGATGATTCGGATCGAATTAGCTTCAAAAGTTTCTTAAAACGTCATTTGCTAATGATGCAATAAGAAAGGCATATCAAAATGAATTTTACGGCTCCCAGATTAAAGGTTAACTTTAACACCTTTCTTCATACTCGGACCCAAATAGCCGTTAGAAGGTCAGGTATCTTAGGAGACTGTAGCCTTTACATCAATTTACCTATTTCAAACGTGCCATCTTTGGCACCTAGGCGTAATAATTTATGTCAAATATGCTGTATTGCTTTGAGAGTTGCATGGTGTATCTCTCAAGGCGTGGAATAGGATAATTTCAGGTCTAATAAGAAGTGAAAGCTTGCCAAACGAGGAGGTGAAGGCTGATACGATCAAGTTGTGTTCCACTAGGCTTGTTGGTATTCCGTGATTATCACAAAAGTGCGTGCTCCTTTTTTGCATTATTTCACGTGCTGTACGGTTTTCTATTGTCGAGTTCTTAGGTTTTCGCGATTGTTACACATAGGAAATGAAACTATTTTTCGGATTTAAATCGGGTAGGTATATTTATTTTTGAAGCAAACCAACGTTTCGGGCACTTTACAGGTCTCATGGTCACGATAGACTGACGTGCTAAAGTCATCAACTAGTTTTGTCTAATATTAATGCAAACCACCTTATTTTTCACTATAGTTACAGAAGTTATTAATTAAATACCTTACTTTTAAATTGTTTATAAGGAACATTCCAATATACGCTACTTATATTTTATAATTATTTTATTTTAACAATATAATTTCTTTTCTTAAATTAAATTTATTATCAATTAATAATGGAAATTAGATAATAATGGAAATTAGAATTTATTTTTTTTGTTTTGAGAAATTAAGATTAACATTTTGTACCCTTGGTATAATAAGGTCACATATGCAAATTAAATTTAATTTAATTCAATTCAAATTCTATGAACGGAATTTGTCGAATTCTTTTTTACGCTTTGAATACGAGAGTTATAAAATTTCACATGTACCATAAAGCAGTTCGTATTGTTTTTATGACTTTTGACGTATGGTAACATATGGCTTTATTACTCTGCCTATGTTATATGTGCCTTTGTTATGCCTATTATACTATTTATAGTATTCAGAACCAAGGGGGAGATCACATTAGGCACACTCTGAACTTTAATTAAATAAAGCACAAAGCATACTTCTTCTTTGTATCGTATTGATACTACAATGCTTGCCATCGTGGCGAAAGGATTTGCCAATTGGCGTAGCGTACCCGCCGGTTGTTGCCGAAGGCTCCTTCATATACCCCTGCTACTCCTACTTAATGTATTAGTATTATAAATATATAAAATATTTTTTTTTTGTTTCAGTACTTCTCTTCAACCATCCAAATTCATTGTAACCGAAATCGTAACTGTTATTCCAAGCGACAGAAAGATGACAGACGATAATTGACTACCTCCGTCTCCAATTACTACAATGGGCTGTGCAAGTGACGTCATGTGTCGCTCGCATTAAGGACTAAGAGCTCAGCTCTTCATCACATTTGATCTCTCAATGCTAAATTACAGACTCGTATCAACGCATTTCTTGAAACAACCGTAAATCCAGCTAATACATACTCAATATTGACTGTTTGTGTCGTACCACCATGTGCCGTGATCGAGATATGACCGTGATTAGCAGTGACATCATCAAATAGAGAGCGGGGACTCTTTTGTATATTTGTTACTATAAAGTTAGATAGTCCGGCAAAACGGCGACCAAAGATATATCGCCGCTGCGTTTTGTTTCGTTCGATTTGTTTTATATCAAGGGATAAGCAATAGCCCGGGCGTTTGAGTGATCAGTTAAGTGAATTCCGCCCACCGGTGGGCCACTGTCTACGCTGGCCAGCCGCGCTCGTGACAACATTTCTAGGATCTTGGATTCCATTGTCGGCGCTGCTAGATATTGCATTGTAAGTATATTGATGTTGTATTTTGTTTTATTTGAAGTTTGAGGCCAATGCACACAATTTATGATTTCGTTGATAAATAGTATTACAAATTCTAAATCCATATACACGGTAGAACATAATGGTGGTGTGTTACACACACCGTGTGTAGTATAAAGTGGTTCATTTTGAGAAACCAAAGCTTCAATGACACTTAACAATTATTGCACGAAAAGCGCAAATATTTTTTGTAACTTTACGTTTTTGTAATCAGATTTAAATACATTTTATTTTCTAAATAGAAGATTTTAAATTAAATAGAAGAGTTGTCTGTTTATGGAATTAGTCTAAAAAGTATGAAGTAATCATTCAGCCTTTCTTACGGAATATAATCCATTGTATTATTTAGAATGGTTTAAGTTACCTAAAATTGTTTTAGCTAGAATTCTAGAGTACGTTACCATTTTCGGAAATACGTTAGGTATGTCGTCGGACTTCCAAGGGTAGTGAAAATGTGGATTTTATGTTCATTTTAGTTTTTGTCGCCAAGTGCATTAGCACCAAACATTTAATTTCAGAGACTTCACAATAACGCCGAAAAGTTGAAATTGGGCATTTAGTTACAAGTCTAACATGGTACAATTGGATTTTACTCAGGTACTCTTTTCGAAGGGGCTTCTTTTAACACCATTAGTAGTAATTTTTTTATAATAAATATATCCAATTAACAATTCTGGTTATAGCTTTATAATCGCTTCGCAAAACAAAAGGGTATACTGGAAAAGTTTCGACGTCGTCGGGGCCGTCTATTAAGCCCCTGGGCACATTCCCTGTTTTAAATCCGAAAATCCCAGTCGGAACCATGAAACTGCCAAAGAATTTATCCGGAACCGAAAATTTACTTCCTTATACGAAATTGGGAGGTAATGACATAAATATTACTAAATAACTATGCTACTTAAAACGACTTCTAGAATTATCTTGAATCTAAATCTGTTCTGATTTTTTTTTCATTAGGATTAACACGTCATTGTGGATTTCGGGTAAATTCTGAGGATTCTTTTAGGTCCAATACATAGTCGCTAAAGATAGCCTGGACGTCGTGTTGTTTTTTATATGACTATTGTATTTATATCACATGTCATGAAAATTCTTTGAACATAGGAACTAAAACGTAGATTTTTTAGTACAGTATAAGTACATCGAAGAACTGAATTTGCGATCAGGTATAAAAATCGTAGTTTCAATAAAAATGTAATCGTTTTGTTTGTACCTATACAACTTTTCCTGTAACCCTTTACTTTATGTGTAGGTACCTAACAACTTGTAACGTCTCGCTTTAAAAAGTAATAATGTGCAACTAGTTCTTAGTTTAAGCTTCTGTGCGAATTATAACAAAAACGTGCTGTTACATACCTACGTATATTATTTAAAAAATGAAATGACTATGATATTTAAGCGTTCTATTATATATTTCGCGATTCGTACACGACTCGATCATTTTAACACCAGCTTCATCCACTTTTGATTCCACACACGAACGTTTCATACGCACATGTCAGATACATTAACAAAAAAAACTATGGTTAGGGTTACGGGCACGAAAGTGAGTGCTCGGACGAGCGGCGGGTTGTAATTTCTGGGTCCGGGTGGCGTGCGCAGTGCTGCGAGCGAGAGAGTGCGGAGAAAGACAAAGAGGAAGATATGGCGGCGCCTGAGTGCGAGCGAGAGGCCCGCAAGCGGCGCGAGCGCCGTGACTCCGGCTGTACGCACGAGAGAAAGGAGCGACGACCACACAGCGAAGAACGTCCACCACCGCCGCCTCCACCTCCGCCGCTACACGACTATAATCGACTCGAGGTGAGAAGCTGCATATTTTAAAGTTTTCTTCTACAGTTTTCAGCCTTCTTTTCTTATTTTATTGATATCTAGCCAAAATGATCCTTCGAGCCGGAGAAAGTCATTATTAATAATAACATCATAGTGGTCCTCTAATTTGCAAACTAAACTGAATTTGATCTTGGAAGTCAGTTCCCAATAATGATGCTTATTATTAAGAAAGGTATTCTATTGTATTGTATTGTATTGTATATAAGGTAAAATAGAAAAGATATAATCATAGATACTAAAACTATTTTTCTTGATTTAAATCGCGTATATTTGTTTTATCAAACAAACCGACGTTTCAGGCCCTTTACAGGTCCCATGGTCACGATTGAATTTTCCTGTAATAGTCAACCGTGACCATGGGACCTGTAAAGGGCCCAAAACGTCGGTTTGTTTGATAAAACAAATATACGCGATTTAAATCCGGAAAAATAGTTTCATTTCCTAAGTGTAACAATCGCAAAAACCTTAGAACTCGATAAGATATAGTCATTGTCTAAAATTTCAGTCGGAGCGTCGTGCAGAGCGTCTTTCGCGCGCACGTCGTCCTCAATACGGCGCCAAACGCCGACGACCTCCTACGAGGATACAGAAACAACCAAAAGAAAACGAATGCTTTACTAATACCGACGACACGCGTAGTAATTCACCACCCCAATTTGACTACATTACTCATCAGAAAACGCAATGTAAGTTCATGTTGACGTACGAGTGTTATTTCATCTTTAAGTTTCTGTTTAAGAGCTCTTGTTATCTGATAATTGAATTGATAAATGTGATAAAGTTTTAAGAGTTGTCGTACGCTTGATGAAGTATAGGACAAATGATAAATGTATCAGGTCAAACTCTCTCGAGAATTTTTGAGTCGACTCAATATAACAAATTGGTTGTCAGCTTTATGAATTATGTGACCTACCCATTACCACTTCAACTCTTTGAGCTAAATCGCTCACGCCTTAATTTTTATTTCAGTAAGTGAAGAACCAGAGACACTGGATGCTGGTGCGCTCGCCGAGTCTGCGATTCGCTGGGCAAACGCAGCAAGAGCTGAGCGCACACGCCGTGATGAGCGCAGCGCGGCCCCGCGGGCGCAGCGCCGTGACCAGCCAGGTCCAGAAACGACGCTTGAGAAGATTACCAAAAAGGTACCGTCATTATTCTTTTAGCTAATAAAAAAATATATAGTGAACTAGACATTGAGAACCCATTGTGGACATATTAAATTCGTTGATGATAGCAATGATGTTGAAACATAATGCTAAAATTCCATTTGAAAGTATACGTACAATATTATATTAGTTATACATTAAAGATTACAAGATTGCATAATTATGATGATAAGTGAAATGTACAAGTAATATTGTTTTTTTATAATACCAAGTGACATAATACTTGCAGTGCCACTCAGAGCTTTAAATCGCAAAGATCTTAGGGGCACTGCCACTGCACCCGTCACCCTGATACGTAAATTGACAAGTCCCATGTGCCTGTGATTTTACCAGAACCCTTACCCTTCTAAACCGGTACGCAGTAATGCTCACATTATTGCTTGGCGGCAGGAATAGGTAAGGTGGCAGTACTTCCCTGGACGAAATGTTGCACAAAGAGCTCTACTGCTACTAAATATATACATTTTTATTTAAGTATAAGTAATAAAGATTTAGGATGGGATCGTGGGAAGTGGTACAGAAACTTGGAGGCCTGTGCAGGAGTGGGTGAAGTCAGGCTGTATGTGATGATGATGAATAAAGATTTAAAAATAATAATAATAATGTTGATTTTAAAACATTTCAGATAAGCCTTCTAAAGAAAAATATTACAAAATACGAAAGCGATTATGAAACTCAGCACGGTCAAGCTATCACACCAAGCGATCGCATCACCGACGTACAGCTTACACGAATGTATGAAACGCTACAGCGACTCCAATCTGAGAAGAAATGTATTAAATCGGATCCTGTAGAATATGCCATGAAGGTTCAGGCAGCAAAGCAACAGAAAGAAAGAGACGAGAAGCTTGAGGTTGCATTGAAGAGTGAGAAACCAATGGTTGACGTCGTCCGAGACATTGAAGAGGTATTTATTACCCGTCTATCGGAAACTAGATTGCTCGATGTTAAATAAGATTTTTTTCTCTTCGAACAATCCCTCACTGCTAAAGTACATCTTCTTGTTGATTATTATTTTAAACACTTGTAGTACTGTTTTTGAGATTAAACTATACCACGAAGTATAATGCGAAATGTCTCCCAACAGCACCAGCTTTCGAAAATTTCATAATATTTAAATTAAGCAGCATCTTGGCCTACAGTGGTTGGAAGGTTGTCGTCAAGCAGCTGGACGATCTGCCGTGCCTGAAACAAATTGGACATCGGCACACTTAGCAGCAGAGAAGTTGTGTGTGCAACGAGTGTTGCTTCGTTTAGAAGCTGCTCGGGGTAGACCTCCAGCTCATTCTGCTGATCGCGGTGCAGCTAGGCACTTGTATGAGAGATATCGGGCCGTCAAGAGAGCTTTGGCAACGTCTAGGCCTGATGCTGTAAGTGAAAATATTTTATTGCTTTCATTATGAAATCCATGGAGAAGAACAGTATTGAGGCTTTTCGGTTAAATTCATTGATCGTGGGCTAGGTTTCACTAGATGTTTTTATTTTCCATAGTATAGCGATAGCAGATGATTGTGTCTTTGGCGTGTAGTTTAGTTGGCATAGCGTCTGCCACAGTTTGCTGGAAGACGTTGGTTCGAATACAGCCGTATTGAAGGAATTTTTTCTAAGTGTTCGATCTTTGTATTAATAATAATAATTATAAGAAACTAATGGGGTAATTTCGCAGAAATATTTGAATGTCATGGGGTCAAACGTCGTGACATTCAATAAACTTAAAATTACACTTAAGCGACATCTCTAGTCAGCTGCTGATAGCTGTAAGGGTACCTGACTGGGCAAAGAAACAGATTTCTCACAGATGGCGCTACGGCAAAAAGTCGTTAAAAACTAAAAACAAAGATCTGTGATACCACATATAAAAAAATCATAACGTTCGCTGGTCCGTTCAGTGGCTTAGTTATGGCATAGCGTCTGCCACGGTTTGCTGGAAGACGTTGGTTCGAATCCAGCCCGATCGAATGACTTTTTCTTTGTGTACGATCTTTGTATTAATAATTACAACAAACTATTGGAGTAATTTCACAAAAATAATTGAATGTCATGGTGGTCTAACATCGTGACATTCAATACACAACAGTGATGTCTTTTAATATTTACTGTATACGAACTTGGTAGAACTTTCTTCCGACTTCTGACTAGGATTTTAATTTGTTCAGGCGATCGGCGCAAACGGCGAATTGGAAACGATCCATGAGCATGAACCTATGCTTTTCAACACGAGTGTCGACAGTTCAAGTGACTCCCAAGAGAAGCCATCAGACTCTTCACAGGTATGCATCGCATTCCTAATTTTATATTGACATCGATTTCAAGGTACCTGTATGACTTTGATAATAGTTTTTTACCCTATACGATTAGGTTACGAGTAGTAGACAAATATGTGCAGTGCTAATGGATCGATTTGATCCCACATTGACAAACCTATTAAGAGTCTATACTACCTCAAATGACTTTGGTTGATTCCGCTTAACAGTGAAACTGTTGAATCAATAACTTTGGAAAAATATAAAGTCAAATTGATGATATACACCGAGTACTATACAGTGTGAAAACATGATTAAATTAATAAAAAATAAAAAACAAACTTACCTCTTAATTTTACAAGAAAACCGACTTCAGTATGTTCTTTACATATACCAAAGATTTTTCTATATCAACAGAACTAAATAGAACACGTATACTGTACGATATAAATTTTTCACATGGCTTTAATTTTGTTTGTAAAAAACTCGAATTTGTAAGAAACTTTTGTTTGTAGAATAGACTGTTAAGATTATTTTTAAAGAATTTTCGCAGCAGTATTAGCGGAACATATCCTTGAAAATTTCGCGAAACTAGAATGATAAACAATATATTCAAATTGTTACCTTAATTTGTTTTAACGTTTCGTATTCAGGACACAACAGAAACTCCTCTCCAATCGCCACCAACCAAAGAAGCAGTTATCGAAGAAGTGGCATCATCAACATCATCAGCCCAATCTGGTACAACAAGCGAGGAAGCTACACCGTCCAATGAAGGACTGCATTGCCTTGGACTTGAAGACTTGTCTAAGGCTCTCACGGAAGCGAAAATGCATAAATGTGTAAGTACAGATGGTTGTTTTACAGCCTTTATCATGTGATACACCAGAGACCATTTCCTCATCCTCTTTAGTCATGTCTTCAGTGATGTGAGACTTGTTGAAATTGATTTGGTCGTAAGTTATTAACGCTTCAAAGAAACCGTTAATGTTAGTACGCTGATGAAAATATATATAAATCACAGCTGGTATACTTTACGGTGGTACTTTTTGTGGAGATTAATTCTCACCTAATAAATGTACGCCAAGCATAACCTCCAAAAGTGCATGTGACTCAAAACTATCACAAGGTACCTTTACCCGCGGGCTGGTGCTTAAACTACTAACAGATGGCATGCCTGCAGTAATATTATGCAGTTGAGGTGTCACCTGTTGGCGTCGGTTTGCAATCGATGTGAACGATAGTCCGACAATCAAAAGCAACAATTGACATACTTAACAATATATATTTTTTTTTTGTGTCTGAAACAACTAGTTTTTTCCAGTAACGGAAACGTTAACGATTACGTTAGGGTTTAATGGTAAAACAAAAACACGAATGGTGAAACTTACTTCGACGGATTTAATTCATATTTGCACAATCGTAATTTTTTTTTGTTAATGGCACCTTTGTTTACATTTTTGATCGCAAATTCCACCGTAAATATAGTCTGGGATTACGGATGTAAGTTTGTTAACAAAAAATAAAATGAAGGATTTCGATAATGATATATATTTTCGCGGTGTCATCTTGCACTCAGTGTCGACTCTGTGTAGTTCGTCGGGTAGCAGCCTAAAGAATATTTAAAAATAGTGTTAATTACACGACGAAAGAGAGCTGAGAATATCGGAAAAAATCTAAATTTATTCGTTAATAATTAACAGTACGAAATAGCTCCCGTCGTCTTAGGTAATAACTACGTACAGTGCTTCTATTTTCTCAATGTTCTACGGCAATCATGGGATTTCCGAATGCACACGAGTATTAATTTCCATGCCCATTAATCATCAGATTTAAATTATATAATAATTTTAATTTTGAACTACGTACTTTATTGTTGTTTTGTTTTGATTTCCGTGTGAACTATATTTAACTGTAAAACTATTTCCCTATTTTTAATAACATTTACTCCAAGTCAATAAAGAAGTTAACAAAAATATAAAATAAATGAAGTACGCTTTTTTATATAAACAAAAATGAATCTTTTTTCGGTTATTAATCATTTCAATTCATTCCGTATCTGAACGTATTTCTTCATCTGGACATTGAGAAAATAGAAGCACTGTAAATTGTGCGTTAAGTCGTACCACACATCTAACATTAACTATATAATTAATAATTTACCCCATCTTAATGTTCCATAGATCCTCCGTCGCAGCATCAAAGAATACGAGGTGAGTTTCGAACTACAGAACAGCAGGAAGGTCCAAAGAGACGACAAGAAAGGGAGAGAAGATGAGTACATTCGATACAAAGCCATCAAGGCCAGAATTAAGCTTTTGAATGCTCTTATCAATAAACAAAAGACTCTAGCTGAATAAAGCGAAACTGACTAAATATCAAGTAAGTGAAGATTTATATAAATAACAAATTAGTCTGGCTATTATAAATATATCGTGTTCTTAGATTTTTGCGATCGTTACACATTGGAGATGAAATATCATCATAAAATAACGTAAAATAAGGCCAGTGGGTCAGGAATAAATCGTTACCCTGATTTACATTATAAATATGTCAAAAAGAAGCACGAAACTTCTGGTTTCTTGTAAAACACGAATATATATATACATATATGTATATATAAGCATCATTGTCTTACAAATAAAGTATATATAAGCATCATTGACTTACTAATAAAGTGTATATATTTCTCTCCACTTATTTGATATAAGACTGAACACAGAGTAGCAGAGTATGTAATTTATTCATAACAAACGCCTACATATACCTATATCTTGATACGTATAATGTAATAACCAGGAATGCCGTTTCATATAGGAGAACCTTGTCTTAAGTATGTCGTGTATTTATTACATTTTGCAGAATAAAGTGTCGAAAGTTTTGCCTATTGGATAAAAGTATTAACTAACGGAGTATAAGAACGGTTGTAAAATATGTCGGTAGATATAAACTCTACGCAGTTATTCTAAAAAATCTTGTGCTTCCTAAGAAATAAAAATATGTTGCAAAAACTTCTTAAAGGTCTACTAAACATGACTTAGTTATTATGTTGATCTGGATGTTAAAAAAAATGTTAAGAGTCCGTTAATGTTAGAAACATTTGTCTACACAGTGATGGCCCCCCAATTGATTTTTAAAATCAATCTATACCAGGGTTATTATTTAAAAACGTTTTATAGAATTGTATAACGAGTGCCAAACATTGACATTCTGTACAATTTTGAGATTAAAATCTTTTCTATGAAAGGCAGATATTGGAATAAAATACTATATGTATAAACATAAAAATATTAAATTAAATAACAAGCGTCTATAACCTCCTGGGAAACAATGTTTATCACTGCCGTAGATAACTGTATAAAGTTTCTGAGCTACCTCTACTTAGAATATTCTTTCAAACAGTAGTATTAGTAAAGTAAACATTTTTCAATGAACATCAAGACATTCAAATCGTAATTAAACAGGTAATGTTCAAAAGGAGAGACGTTTCTATCTATAGTTTCTTTCTCCTTAAGTACACACAGGAAGATTCATGGGGTGAACGTAATCTGTAAAACTAATACATACTTTTTTGACTAGCCTATTGTTTGCTATTATAAATAATATATTTGTAATAGAGTCCGTACTTAATAGAAATATACCCGCGCGCGTATAGTTAAATGTACATCCTGAATCATTATACTATATATCGGATATTCTTGTATTAAATAGCCTTACATTATATAAGTAAATTTGCAAATTATGACATCATTATTTGAGGCCTCAAGAGCCTTTGTTTGATAGGTGTAGTTGAAAGCCTACTGAATGTAAATGAAGCATTCATCCTGTGTGGAGCGCCTTACTTTCTGCGCGCATGCTTCCTGTACATATTTGTATAATAAAGTGGAGTGCTCAAATGTTAAAAAAGGCTTTATTAATATGATATAGAGCTGAATATATCGCGCTGCTATAATATGGCTATTGAAAGCAAACGTTAAAGATTATTATGAAATTAGATGATACTACGATGAAAGCGAGTTAGCATTAACTAGCATTGTGCCAGTAACTAGCTTGAAATGTGCAGATTTTCTATTACTAATTGATTTGTTTGTTCTTGCATAATAGTAGAAAAGGATATACGCCCAAAGTTCTTCGTTGGACTATTAAAAAAAAGAAAGATGTACGTGTTGATTTGAATTGGTTCTAAAAGATACTCGATTGTGACAAACGTCTTACGGATGTTTACTTGAAGTGTGACATTTCTCGAGATAAGGAAGATAAGTATCGCTCTCGATTATGTGGATTGCATTTACAAAGACAGGCGCAAAGTTGTTGTGACCAGAAAGCTATGCCTAAAGATACCGTTCGAATAGAAAATCCATCTAATATCTGCTATTCGAAAACTCTATGCTCTTGTGACGGCATACTTACATGCAAGTTACTCGCAAATAGCAACAGGCTTTTTATTTAAACCTGACAATTCTAAAAATGTATCCTAGTATTTCTGTCTCTATCAGAGTGTGTGAAAGACAGGAGTTTGTTTAGACATGTCTAAATAATTTAAGATGTGTTTTATTGATTTTTCCGCGTTTTTTATTCAGAAAACCATTTGAAAGAATTTGAAATTTGCGATTGACGTAACGTGCACTTCCTCCTTGATGGCGAAATATTCCGTACTGGAATGTCCCCAAGTGGATGTGTGCTTTAATATCTTGATAAAGTTGCACCTACGCGCGCTAATTTGGACAAGAAGCTTACAGCTACGTGTCTTTGTAAGCAGGTTCTTGTATGCGGAATAGAAAAAGGCCACATGCTTAATCTTGATTGAGGTGTCTGCGTTACTGACTTTTCAACGCTTTAAGGTTGAACTTATGACAATATGATATAATTTTTTATGAGAGTTTTGACAGAGAATTAAGTAGTCTGATATAGCTACTTGATGGCTACTTGCCACAATTGATGCCAGCGACTCTCACACTGTGCAGACTTGTCGTTAATTTCAACAATGACAGAAAATGTTTGCAAATGACTACAAAGTCTATCTATCGTGTTAGCCGCCTAAGGTTTTTTGAATGTTGTGTTATATACAAATATTTTGTGTTGTTTTTTTTGTTTACAAACGTGTACTTGTATTTGTCATTGAATATGTTGTTTTTGTTGCAATTGAATGTTCATTTTATTAATGGTCTTTTCTAAATGAGACCCAGATCTTTAAGAGAATATAAGTGATGACGATTCTGACACTAAAACTCCATTTTGACTGATCAAAAATATTGTAATGTGTTCGGCTTTTTTATTAATCTTTAAACTAGGCCTCAATCACAATATACTCAGAATGTTACTACTCTGCTGACAACGGGGCTCTAGAAAGGGTTTAGTATATCGGCACTTCCCCTCACACCTAACTTTATTTATAGATTCGTGATGATAGTAGCTAAGCTGCAATCCAGTGTGCATGATGTTGTGAGGGTTTATTTTATCATGGCAAAGGATCCCTTTTCTTTAAGGTTACGACATAAGCAGAATACGAACACGCTCTGCCAATTCGTCAGCCATACAAGGTAAGCCGTACTTAACATTTGAATTTATTCCTGGTACATAAGTCACGGATAGAGTTGGAAAGTGATTCCCAACAGCGATCACAAGACAATAAGATGTCAAAATAGTTTTAGTTCATATTTGTATGTAACAGAATCGTCATCAATATTAAATGTGTAAATTACATATAAATTAAAATTTAATGTCTAGTGATAAAGTACTTACCTGTGATTTTATTGTAAACTTTCTTGTGTGACAAGAAACTTGTGGTTTTTTTAATGTATTAGACATTTATAATAATTTTGTGGTAGGCGCTCTTACGTCGTATTATATTTTGTTAAATAATTGTACTAGTATGCCAACTACACCGGCCGGTGGCCTCTCTTAGTTTGCCCCAACCACCACCACGATCCTGTGCTAGTCCCACCCGTGTACTGTCCGCACTGTTGACGATGTCGTCTTACCATCTCAAATCAGGACATCGCGTCACGGCCACCACCGTTCGATTAACTGAAGTAACGGTTAACTCACGTACCTACTTAAGAGTCTATACTACCTACCTCAATTGGGTGATTTGGTTGATTCTGCATAACAGAGAAAGTGTTGAATCAATCATTTTGGAAAAAATATATAGTAAAATTGAGGATATTACAACATACCTACGGTGTAAAAACCCGATTCCTAAAAATTTTCACGATAGAAAAAGAACAAACTCACCTCGAAATTTTACGTGAAAACCGCTGTATTCAATAGATACTTTACAATACCAATGTTTTTTTTTATATGAACTGAACTAAATAGAACACGTATACTATATGATATACATTTTTTAATTGTCTTTAATTTTGTTTGTAAAAAATAAACTCTAATTTTGAAATAAGAAGCCAGTGTCCCGCTAACCTAAGCATAATAAACTGTATACATATAGTACGGGAAAAATTCGAATTCGAGCTGAGGTAGTATCGACTCTTAGTCGAATTTTTGCTCAAAATGTTTCCACGAACACTCGCGAACATTTATTTTATTTTATAACTGCTTTAAGAGTTTTTTAATTTTACTCATATAATTCAGATAATTGCATCCATAGAGTTGTTAGTAACATTTGGTACTTACAACTATGTTAATTAATAATAGTAATATTAAAATTTATTTACCTACCTACATATAATTATGTTCACCCGGAACTTCAGGATGGAACAATCATATTTATTAGCAAATACCTTCAAAATTCCGCTTTGACTACCCCGCACATGGCTCAACAGAGACACAACCCGCTTCCGTCTAATGGCGTAAAAGTCAACAGTACGTTCCTCGGCGAACATCCCTCAAGCGCTGCAATGACGAGGGAGCCCTAACAGCATTCTGAAGGCATTATTGCATTGGACGCGGAGGGCATTATATGCTTTTTGATTATGTAATTCAATAACACTAATTGACCCACAGACTGCTCGTGTAAAATATTTGACAGAACGCCAGAGAGGATAATTTAAAAGAGCAACGAGCAAACCTACAACTATACCTACTTACCTACAACAACCTATACTTTTTAAGTATACTATGTATTATAATAATGCATATGTCGCGATTTATGTTTTTAGAACACCTTAATGAAAGTTGTTTTAAAACTTATTAACTTATCACTAATTTTCGTCGAGTCAGCACCGTGGAAGTTCATGATTAAGGACCACGGAATGGCTCGAAACGTTCGAACAATATTTCGCCTTAAATACGTGAGTTATCCATTACTTTAGTCAATAAATGTCTGTGCCTCTACTACGAGTTCACTGTAACAGTTGTCGCTAGCGACCGTGTAAATTATTTCACAATTTTGTATGGCAAATCTAACGGTCAAGAGAAGAAACAACATTTTGCAGACAAACATTTTACGCGGTCGCTAGCGATTACTGTCACTGTAATCTCATAGTAGAGGCACTGGTCTTACGGAAGTTTTGTATTTTAAGCACAGTTTGGTTGTCGCCATATATAACTTTTTGTATACCTATCTCATTGCCATATTAAAGTCGTTTAAAGTGTTACCATACCGGTGTTGCTTTCGAATAATTGTAACATTTTACATTTTGTGATAAAAAAGCTAAATAATTAATGGTGTACTTGTTTCGTTTACATAATTTTTCTAAGACGACTTCTTTTAGTGTTTTTCAAATACTTATATATTTTTACAAAATGTAAAATAAGTGTGGGGAAGTTTTTATTGACGTTTACTGTTATGTTCAATTTAAAAAAAAAACAGGATTGTGACTTATTTCCCAAGCGTTAAGAACTGTTCATACTGTGACGAACGAAGATGATACAAGTTTGTGATGTGCAAAAACTTGTACTTGTGTAAATAACCTTTTGCTACGAGCAAATAAAGTCTAACGTATTTATTATTAAATGATTTGTGATTTTAAGGTGATTTTTGGCACTTTTGTCTCAAGATAATAAATATCGAATGTACGAGTAGTATAAGGTACAATACTTCTCAGTAAGAAAAGATTCCAGGTGTAATGTCATTATTCATTATTCATACGCAAAGAACCTGTGGCATTATAAAGTAATTTAATTCAAAATTGAATTATTTATTACATACCATCTGTTAATTACAATGGACGCGACTATATTGCTGTTGTAAGTGAAAGTAAATTATTTGAAATAAAAAATGTACCTGTAAAAAATTGCTTAGATATATGTTACCATATCAAAATATTATTTGATTGTGACGGATCTTGATAAAAGAAAATTACCATGTCGACAGCTTTCTAGAATAGCGGCTTATCACTAAAACGCCTAAAATAAAAAAATAACAGACGTGTGTACCAGATAATGTAAAGCTACGTATACACCGACTCAATGTTGTCACGTGATTTTTCAAACACTGTAAACATCTGTGTGTTTTATACTATACTTTTGTAACTAATGTGTATTAAGTAAATAATTAACTATTTTGATGTTAAACGTTATTCTTGAAAAGCTGCGTTATGGTAACTTTACACAGTATACAGATTATTGACATTAAGAAACCATCCATAGAAAATTTAGCCTAAGATATTTAGTTTACATTTTGTAAGCAATGTTAAATCTAAAGTATGTGGTATGTTATACCAAAGTTACCTGACGTTTACAAAATATGCAAAGTTGCAATTTGTAGTTTAAATAACGCGAAAGTAGTCGTAGAACTACTTTGGGTAAGGTGCATTACATTTGAAACTATACTTTAGCCAAATTCTATGTAGAATAAATATCAACAAACAAAAACATAATATGACTGTTATGGTTTTTACCTCAGATTGTTTTACATTTACTACGATATCAATATTTTTTATCGAGATTCGGTTAGGCTATTGATAATACTAATCTTCAAGTTATGTCTGTGATGAATTCTATTCAATAGAAGTTTCACATCACTAGTGATTTAAAACCGATATGAAAATCACCACTTTTTAATTATTTATAAAAATGTGATACCTAAATATTTTTTTATTTGCAGGTTTAGATTACAAATATTCGACTTCAAGTAGTAATTCAAGTTCAGAATTGAAAATTGTCGCTGGATGAGATAGGTAGTAAAGTAATATAGACAAAAACCTTCCAATATTGTTTCTTTTGAATTAGAATTACCTAGCAGGCAAGTCCAGCAGTAAGTATTAAATGGTATCAAAAACTTAATTATTTTATTTATAAATCATACGTATCAATAAGTGGATACTTCGCAAACTTTATAATTATTGACTAGGTTAGTATTACTTCTACATAACTCAATTATTTACTTACCTATTTAAATTTCAATTACGCATCGAGTGCAAATACGCGAGCGCTTGCTGGCGTATTTGCACTTGGGTAGAGCTAGCCTAAATAATGAACATTGACACAAAATGTTCTTTCCACCTGCCATCTTCTGATTTCGTCTGTGTAGAATGCATACTTCGAGTAGTAACCTACTGTACTACATCGTTGCCTAGTAACGTTTTGGTATTTATTAAACATTCTTTAACGAATTAGGCTTGAGTATAGAAACCTACCTGTATAATTGCGTTTTTAAACGTACCGTGACAATGACGCGCTAGTCGCCACAAAGCTTTATTCGTTATAAAAAAGAATTCTATTCCAAAAATGAGAGTGTGAGGGTTTTCCAATCTCTATGGATAGGACGCATTCGTAAAAAGTACGCAAGTTAAAACGGAACAGATTATGTTTTTGCGATTTTTTTGCAAAGTATATATAAGTTTTAAGACAATGTTGTTAACACTACAAATGATGCCATTGTAAATTATCATTTATTGCAAATAAAATTGTTTTTTATTGAATTACAGAACATTAAACTGTAAGTTATTCAGCCATTACGTAGTGCAGAAAAATCCGTAATCAATGATAACGATTATGAATAAAGATATTTAAATAAAAATAATACTATTGTTTATTATTTAGTATCCTATTTGTGCCTACTCGAGGGTGCCTTTTTACAAAATAATTTAGTACATTCTGAATGATGCTGGGTTATAAAGACAAATTGCCACTATTCTTAAAAGGTAGCGATATGGTTTTAATTAACGGCACGATATGTATAGTTGCCTAGATTGCGACTCAATAATTATGTGAAAATATTTAAGTCATTAGTTTCCCTAGCTTGTCGTTTTCCTTAACCGTGTCGCTACCACAAGATTATAGTGACAGTTGTCGCTAGCGACCACGTAAATTACTTCATCATTTTATATGGCAAATTGTACATCGCGCTTAGTGGTTACAAAAAGTATTAACATTTTGCTTAAGGTCAGGCCACACAGACGCAGTACAGCGGCAAAAGCGATCGGGCTTGCGGGGAGCGAACGTGTACAGGGGCGTGCTACACAGCAGTCCCACGACTCCCACGCGGAGTTCGCAGTGGGACAGCAGCGGTGACACCAAAAGCAGTTTCATCAACACGTTTCATTTTCTATAGTTTACGCAGTTCGCTAGCGACGAATGTGACTATAAATTCGTGGTAAAAGTACTGGTGTGTACTTCAGTTTAAACTGATATTATAGCAATAAATGAAATACAAATTTGAATAATTTAAAACTCCAGTTTTAAATTTTTGATACTTTAGTAGGTGGTGCTTTACATTCTTCACATCAGTTTATTAAGACACGCAAGAAAGAACACAGAAGCTAGCTTGTGTACTATATACTATATACTTGTCACGATTTGACGAATTAACGAAGTCCATATCGAAGCACATAATAGAAGTAAGGCTCCATGTAAATGAGTTCGTTCAGAGGAGTGCTGCCCCCTTACCCGTTTCTGCACCACAGTAATAATTTTAGCATTACTGCGGTCCGGTAAAGAAGGATAAGGATGAAATTGCAAGCACATTCTGACTTGTAAAGTGTTAGGGTGACGGGCGCAGGGTTTTTCATGACATAAGCCTAAGATTCATAATTGACTAGATCATTCTGTAGAGGTATTTAACCAGGAGTCACATTATTGAATATATATCTCTTAGATATGTTTCTTAGTTGACTTGGGATTTCCTTTAAATGATAAAAACATGAGTCATAGGGCGTATAAATAACCAAAATTACTATGCGTCTAACGACTATCACGGGAGCTGTATCTAAAGGGAATTTGCACCAAAACAGTGGAGATCCTCTCGCCTGATGATGGACGGGACACAGAAAACTATTTATTGCAGAAAAATTTAGCGCGTAGCTAACAAGGAAAATACATTACCTAATTCCAGAATAGTCTTTTAAGATATAGGGTATGTAGTAGGTTATCAGTTCACAGTTTATTTTTTCATTGTTATAGTTTCAACTCACATGAAAGCAAAAAAAATAATCTCAAATTAGTATATTAACTGTAATAAATATATTGGTGTTGGCTTTCTGTGGTTTGATAAATGATTTTTTACTTTCCAAGGAATTTAGATTCTGTTTCACATTTGACATTAATGGCGAATCTGAATTATATTTATGATGCAACAACATTTAAATTCCTCTCAATAAAATTATCGCGCGGTCGTCGCGCGGGCCGCCGCGTGGACTAAATTCAAACCAGGCTAGCCTGCATGCCCGGAACGCTCTTTTAAATTAAAACGTAAAAACTAAACAAATAGAGCGTATTTTGCCATGACAGTTAGACAGGCAACGTGGACTGCGCTCTCGACCGTGCGGCGGCCGCCGCGGACTCCGCTCGGCGATCGCGCGGCGGCCGAGCGGGGTGAGCGCGATGAAATTCGTGTCGAATAAATACTATTATTCATTATTAGCCCTATTATTCAGATATAAAGAACATTTATCCTTGTTATTTCTAAAAGTAGTTATTTATTACTTTCCTAAAGTAGCGATAACCCCGACGCTCGGGTTTTCACGAAGAATACGTTCAGGGTCACTTGACGATTCCACAAGCGATCGTTAATTTCACTTTAGTAGCAGTAGAGCTCCTTGTGAAAAAGTTCGTCCAGGGAAGTACTGCCATCTTACCTATTTCTGCCGCCAAGCAGTAATGTCAGCATTACATTGTTCCGGTTTTTAAAGGTAAGGGTGCGGGTGAAATTGCAGGCGCATGGGACTTGTCAACTTACGTCTCTGGGTGAAGAGCGCAGTGGCAGTGCCCCTCAGATTTTTGTGATTTAAAGGTCTGAGTGGCACTGCAACTGTTATGGGCAGGCGTGTAGCTTACCATTAGGCGCACGATTTGTTCGTTCCGTCACTTGATATTATAAAAAAAATACCACATTCTCTACAACTCTTGAAGTTAAAAATATGTTCAAATTGTTTTAAATTTACACGTAAATGCAACGCAAAATGAAGTATCCTTTGATACTTTATAATTGTCAATAATCGTGGTTTCGTGGATGCCGTGTGAGTGTAAAAAAATCTGTTTAAGTTACCTATTGAAAGTAAAAAATTCACAAGTACACCACAAAACCATTTTGTGCTTATTAAATCAAATTACACACACACAAACCTGTACATTTAGCGGAATAAAAAAGAATATATATTACTAACGTTTACGTTTATAAAAATAAGAATTATACATATAGTAGCAATTAAATTAACATCTTTTGACATCGAC